CCCCTTCCCTTCTCCCCCCTTCCCTTCTCCCGTGTTGTGAATTGGAGTTATTCTACAGCCACAAGACAGAGCACCAGTGCAGAGCACCAAGCCTGGCTCAGTTTTGAGGGATAGTAACCAACTGTGTAGAAAGAACTGATCATCCTCAGTAATAATTTCTTCCTGGCATTTCTGTTGATGAATGTTGTTGGTTGTGGCATAGTTTGTTACTTTTTGTGTGTTTGTCGTAACAGTGACTTGAGACACGTTGGCGTGGTTTCAAGATAATACTGTAAATGATGGCTGCCATTTTCTTAGAGATTAAATAATCGGGAAGCTCAGGCCTGATCTGTTTATAATAGACCTCCCTACTGGACTGAGGGTGATGTGTGGAGTCCAAAGTAGTAAAATTAATGGTAGTTCTTTCAAGTTTTTTGTTTTCTCCCCCTCAGGTCATGGAGCTGCTGGTTCATCTGAATAAGCGCATCAAAAGTCGTCCAAAAATTCAGCTTCCAGTAGAGACATTGCTAGTTCAATATCAAGATCCTTCTGCAGTGTCTTTTGTCACTGTAAGTTGCTGATTTACTTGTAACAAGCAGAATATTCCTCAAAGCTCCTGTATTTAGCTCTGTTGGTTTTCCCAGCAAGTATGTTGTTTTATGAGGTTCAAGTTTTAAGAAATTTTTTTAAACTAAACTCTGTAGTCTGATGTTGGTGAAACTTAGTTTCATAAAGCAGCTACACTATTGACTCTGTTCAAATTACTGATAATAACTCTTGATATTTCATGAAAGTATGAATTGTCGTTTCTTGTAATGTAGAGGTTCTTTTCATTGTTAGAAGCTCCAGTTTGCAAGTGGCTACCAATCCCAATATGTGCAGGATCAGGGTCTTAAAACATCTGTATTTCTCTGAACACGTGAGAATGTATTTTTTTGTGTGGTTTTAGAGGAGGACCTTAGCTGAACAAGAAGAAATGAAAAAAATCCTTTATTTTTTAGTTGGGGAAACTTTACTGGATGGTTTCACTCAATGTAGTTTAAAAAGTGAAAATAGTTTAAAAATGTTTCTTAGAAACTGTGAAGACCATTTTCATTTTAGCTGTGGTAGATCTATTGCAAATCCCCATCATCCAAAAAAATGAAAAAATCAGAGGGAAACCTCTCCCTTCTCATTTGGCTATTCAGTCCAATGTAGCATAAATGGAAAACTTCTTAGTTTTCCAAAACATCTTAGAAACTGATGGAGAACTGTTTAAACAGCAGTAACATAGGACTAATCTCAGATTTTCTTTAAGCAAGTGGGATTGTCTCGAGTTCACCTTTAAGAAATGGCTGAGGGCTTCTAGAGTGCAATGTTCTGTAGAGCAGTAAAAGAGCCCTCTGTTGCCTTCAGAGGCGTAGCGACCTGGTTCAGGAACGGCTCAGCGACCGCACCTCTGGGTCTGCGTGGACCATAAGCTCACAAACACCAATGTGGTGGACGGCAAATGGCGTTTATTGATAGGTGACAGAGCGTTTTATAGCCTGAGTTTACAACGTCACATCCGCCTGCTAACGTCGTAAATCAAATGCTATTGGCTATCAGGAGAGGGGGGCCCTTATGCTTTCCGTACAGCGCGATATCTTCCGGCCGCCAGGCCCTAACTACTCACAGCCATCTAGTTTGATGACAAACTTGACATAAACTGTGCTTTTGGCTTGACATGTCAAAAATCTGTTTTTATTCATATATCTGAGTGATGCATGTTGGTTTGTGCCATGAATCTTCGTAAAGTTTTAGCAAGTGTCATCTACAGAGAACTGTAATGCTTCCCACTTCAACACTTCTTTCAAGCAGGTCACTGAACACATAACTCTTGTCTCTACAGTTCTTGCCTGGATTTGGATCAGTATGATAGCAATTAGATAATCCAGTATTCAGTATTGCTCTGCCATGCTGTCTTGTTACTGCACTCTTTTTCAGTTGCATTTGCAGCTTTTAATTAAGATCATTTAGAAACACATTTTCACGAGAAACTTTGCCTACGCTGATGACTTTGTATTTATTCTGTATTGCTTTCTATTTTATTTCAGAAATAAGTAAGAGAGAATATTACTTTTGCTTTCCTCAAAGCTGTTGCTCAGCTAAAGCTGTTTTTGGTGAAGTTGGCAGCAGACAGGAGAAGCTAGCAAGGAGTTTTTGCATTGTTGTTTTCCTCCTAGCTGTCAGTCCAGTGAGCCTTAGAATTAAGAAATTGGTCTTCCAAAATATATGTTGTTTCCAATGCCCAATTATGTAACACACTGTACAAGAATAATCTATAGAACCGACATTTCTTTTGCACTGTTGGAATACTGTGTGCTTTTTCTACTCCTTTAGAATTTTACCATAATTTATGTTAAGATGGGATACCCCCGTCTGCCTGTGGAAAAACAATGTGAATTAGCTCCAACTCTTCTCACTGCAATGGAAGGGAAACCTCAGCCACAGCAAGACAGGTATAACTACTTGTTCTTGAATTGAATTCTGTTGATATAATATTAGTAAAATAATTTGTATCACATGTTAAACTACTTTTTTTTTTCCTTGGTGATATCTTCTTTGTTTAGGATGTTCTTTGCTTGTACTATTTAGATCAGCAACTCAGTAGTTTGGGTGGTACAGAGAATTCATATAGTCTAATGTTGTAATAATATACAGGATCTGCAGCAGCAGACTCCCTGTATGGTAAGAGGCCTGTGTTATAATGGATATGCTTGCCATTATCACCCATCCATCTTCAACAAATTCTGGTTTCCAGCTTAAGGCCAGACCGTCAGTAGATGGCCTCTGTGCAGCAACATGAACTGCAGTAAACGTCTCAGGTCTGCAACTCTAAATTGTGAGATAACCAAAATTCCTACTCACTTGAAACACTAAGTTGTTATAAATAGAAGGTAAAACTTCCCTGAAGCTGGGAACTGCCCTGTGCTAAGAACTTCTAGAAAACTGTTAATTATGGACCTGCAGTTATTTCCATTGACATGGGTTTCCACCATGCTGGGAAATGGCATTAAAATCGTATCTTCATTCACTCTACACCACTGTGACAGCATGTGGTATTTTTAAAATTACCTTACTGAAAGGTCTTGGAGTAGAATCTTGCTTCTGTTCATAAGATCAGTGTGAAAATACTTGATTGTCTTCTCTGGGACTGTGGTTTTGCCCTGTCCTAAAAGCAAGTACCTGAGTGAAGAGAGCTTTGGGAAATGTGTCTGTACTGGTATATAATCAATATATTTGTCTGTACGCACTCTTTGGTGAAACTGAACAGTGTTGTTCAACTTGTGCTTTAGGAAGACTCAGATTTAAAACTTCAAATTTCTTATTAAAAGAAAGTCCTACATTATATTTTGTGGCATAATTACAAAACATTAGAAGTCTGGAGAAAGAGGGACTTTATCTGTCCAGATGTGTGTGTGCATGCAGGCAAACATATGTTCTATTTTAAGTGCAAATCCAAATTTATCTTCTGCCTTCCATTTTTAAATACCTTAGGTGGCAAGTAGAGGCAACTGGATTGTACGTTGGTTTATTTTTTTTTATATTTTTTGCTATTAAGTACTGGATTTGTTGTTAATGGTTTCTCTCTTGAATGTTAAGAATATCAGGTGTGGTTTTTTTAAAATGGTTGCAGTAAATATAATTGTTTTTCAGCCTGATGCATCTTCTAATACCAACCCTTTTTCACATGAAATATCAAACTGCGGACCCACTGAAAGCAGCAGCTTCTCCATTTAATCTTGCTGAAAAACCAAAGACTGTACAGCTGCTTTTGGACTTTATGTTGGATGTTCTTCTTATGCCTTATGGGTAAGTAAGAGTTAATACTAGTGTTTTCTAGTATTGATGTGTTACTTATGTGTGAAACTGCACCCTTTGAAGCTCATTTAAAATGTGCTATTATTTTCTAGCTCAAATGAAATCGGTTAGATGTTTCAGTAAGATACAAAGCAGGGTCCTAATTTTAAGAATGGGATCGCCATCTTCCTTACTTAACAAAATGTCTTTTTTCTGCTTAATTGGGTATTATGCTATTCTGTCCTTGACCTCTTTTGGAATCAAAGAGGAGCTATGGAGCTATGAGACATGTGAGCTGTCTGTTAAATAACCAGACCTTTAAAGTAGAAGCCAGATCAAAACGTGTGCTCATCTTCCTGAAGTTGAGTTTTAAGGTTTATTCATCCAAGGTTCTAAGCAAGTGTAATGTCTGAAAACTTGTGCTTTTCAGAACTGAACCTTTAATAACAAGATCTGTCTTTCATCTGTCTTCTGATGAAAAATGTTTCAACTGCAATGGCGTGTCTTGGTGTGAGCACTGTTTCTGAGAGCCAAAATGATTTACAGAGCAACTTGAATTTCCTGATGACTGTTAGGAATCTTCTAGTGTCTGAAATCAATACTTTCTCAAAATCTATTTTCCTCTAACTTTTGGTGTCTTTTGGTATTGCTAGAAGAGCTTTTGCTTTGAAAGAAAATAGGAATAATTTTAACAGTAGAATACTTCTTTTTTCTTTTCTGCCAGTTAATTAGTTCCCATAGGATTTTTAGGAGCACCTTACTCTTGCTTACCCAAGTGAATTGAACTCTTGTAAAATACTGAGCATGTGATGTTTCTCTATATAGCTTTGCTGGAGGCTGTGGTCCCATCAGATGTTTCAGGGCGACTTCCTTATCTTTTGAGTGTGTAGAGTCTTGCAGCTTATAGTTTGAAATGCCTAGCCTGCTCCTCTGTTCACAGCTCACACTCTTCAGTTTGCCTAGGCTTATGCTCTTAGCTCTCACACTGCTGTGGCTGTAGTTTCCGCAGATGAAGTCCTTGGGCTTTGCAATAAGACTTCACTTCCTTCCGTGCTTTTGTGCGTTGGCCAACTATGACAATTTTTGAACACTCAGACCACAAAGGTAGGGGTGGAGGTTTAATTTTCTTTCTAAAAGGGCTCCGAGAGAGTCTTCAGCTAGCCTGTGGCTCTGAATGTTGTCTCCTAAAGTCTTGCTGCCTGGGTGAGACTGTTTGCAGCTAATTTATGCCTGGTAGAACTTGTTTCATCATTGCCCAGTTGTGAATTAGCATTGTCAGTTCGTGTGCAGTATAGCAACCATAAAGCCTAACTGTAGGGCTTAAATCTCATAATCAAGTTCAAATGTTTAAAGTTTTAACTAAAGAGACTTGAAATGCAAGTTTGTCCGTATTGTTGAGACTGTTTACTTCCTGTTGTTGCCTGCGTGCTGAATGCAGGACATTATGGCTGTCTGCAGAGAAATAATTCTTGTTGGTCTCTGCACTACAGTTTAAATGCCTTCATATGTTGACCAGCTTCCAAGGCTACAGGGAGACATGAAGTGACTTTTGTGAGAGTATGGAGATGTGCACAGGTCAGCCAGACTAGCCGGTCTCCAAAAAGACTAAGATCTGTAAAGTTAATCTTTATGGCTTTTGCTTTCCTTCCCTGACCAGCACTAAAACTGCCATTTTCAAAGACATTCATTGTTTTTAATTTTTTTTTTAAACCAAGGGTTGTTTCCTGCCACTTCACTGTGGTGCATATGCTTCATTATTTCCCTTGTTAGGTGTGTGTTTTTCATAGAAATCATACAAATGTTGCTTAAAGCTTTTAGTACAATTTTCTCAAATGTAGCACTGTCAGAGTATTCACTTCTGATACAAAAGAGATCATTCTTTCTGGTTCATAACCTGAGAACTCTTTTCAGAAATACCAGTGGACCCTCCCCTTTCCTAACTGAGGTTTGTTTTCAGACAGTTACAGAGATCAGAAGGGCTTTTGCAGAATATGCTGGGATAACTGGTAACTGAGTCTCTACTGAGTAAAATTCTGTCCCATATCAAAGTTATGGGATTAAATAAAGCAGAATACGTGAAGTGGGACAGGTTACATTTATTTTTCTGATCTAGCATTTAATTCAGCTGGCCATGTGGGTTGGTAAAGCCTCTAATAAACTCCTTTTCCACTTGCTTAGGTTTGTATTGAATGAATCTCAGAGTCGACAAAATACGCCCTCAGCCCAGGGCTCCTCCTCAAGTAGTGTGGGAGGTCCTGGAATCCCTCAGCCGCCTCCAGGGATGAGCTTTTATGCAGCTAAAAGAGTAATTGGAGATAGCCCATGGACACCAGAGCTGCTGGAACAGGTACTTGGCAGCTGCGTATCTGGTCCTTAGTGAACTGAGGGTGGTAACAGGGACTGGTACAGGCAGAGGAATAGAGGACTGGAGGGAAAATAAGTAATTAATTCTGAACAGGTCTTCAGTTGCCCTGAAGGATTTTATTAAGGGACTTTGCATGATACCTTAAGGAGCTTTGCCATGGTGACATGGGATGGGAGGTGCCAGTCGTTTTTAGAGCTGGGTTAGGAAGCAACCCAGTCTACTCTTGGGTTTTCCTCCTAAAGACAGGTTACAAAACTCTCTTATGTTGATGATGCAGTTTAGCAGATGATGTGTTATTAACAAAGAAGTAACAGCGTACCCCTAATTGTAATGCTGACACTTTGTTGCAGGTCACTGCTTTGACAGTAGAATGGTGCTAAAGAGATGGAGAGCATCTGAACTCCTTAGCAAGCAGAAGCCAACATTTCAGACAGCTGAACTGCTACAGTTATTGTAACATATGTTCTCTTGTCAGTAACGCTGCCTTTACTTTCCTCTCTGTTAAATAGTGTAAACTGGGGATAGTGAAGTTCATTGAAGCTGAGCAAGTGCCAGAACTTGAAGCTGTTATACACCTGGTTGTGGCCTCCAGTGATACAAGACACAGTGTTGCCACTGCAGCAGACCTTGAACTGAAGAGCAAACAGAGGTACAAGTTTGAGTGTTTGAAAAAGGTGGTGTTGGTGTTCCAAGCAAAGCTAGCTGCAATTTAGGTAGTGCTTCAGAGAGACTGCGCTCAGAATGGAGGAAGGCTGCAGTCCCTCGTGTTCCTGTAAGGCTGCCATCTATTCACACAGAGCTAGGACTGACATGGCTCCAAGTTCTGCAGCTGGGAACATCACTTGGCTCTGGAGCCCACAGCTTTAGCTGCTTGATTTCAGTCATCTTTGGTATTGCTTTTGAGTAATTTTCTTACTCCTTGCTTTCTAAATTGTTCACTGTGGATTATCGATGATCAATAAGCCCTTAGTAAGTGATGCACAGCTGGTAAACTTACCTATTTTGTATTTCCCAGTAAAGTATACTTTCATTTAATGTATTCAGGGAGTAAAGAGACTGTAATTGTGAAGTGGACCGTAGTCTAGGAAGTTTGTCAGCCACTGTTGTCTGCATTATTAAATTTTTTTGTGCATCTACAGTCAACCTTTCATCATCTAAAGACAATTCTTATGTACTTAACTCATCAAGAGACCTAATAATTGCTGTTGTTACTGTTTGCTGACTCATTCATCATATGAGGTTTCTCCTACTACTGGCTTATAGGAGATGTGGATTGAGGGAGACCTGTCATGGAAATGTGTAGGTGGCTTCTGTACTACTAGAAGTATAGGCCTGTTTAACATTGGAGTGAAGTACATAATGTGTAACCTTCTTCATTCAAGTCTATTCATGTGCCTCAGTCATGACAGGGAAGATTATTCTAGTAAATGATGTCAGCCTTGTTAAGGAAGACAGTCTCTCCTTTGCTTCTTGTCTCGTCTTTCCCTTGTGCTGGTATTCTTTTCCTGGAGAGTAAGATACACGTGTGGACACAATGGGTGTTATTGTGCAGTGTTAGTTATCTTTTATGATAAATACATCTATTTGGAAATCAGTTGCTTTACTGAAAGAGATTATTCTTTTTTGAAGCATGCATGCCTAACTCTTTTTTTTGGTGGGGCTTTTTTGGGTATGTGTGTGTGTTCCAAACAGTCTCATCAATAGCTAGCGTTAGATGATTGTTGTGGGCAGACAGATTTGTCTGAGAAACCAAGATAAAATACTCCTAGAATTAAAAATGCGCTCTTCTCTGTTGAAATGTCAAAGCATTGAGGTTGAAGAATGTAGAGAAGTTTGTTAACAGATGACCATTCTGTATTCAATTGGTCACCAACCATGGTTTATATGTGATGTTTCAGTGGGAGAGAAGGGAGCATGTAGGTTTCTCATTAATTATTTGGAATTATGTTGTTAGAATTTGTAGGTTAAATTTGTAATCGCTTCATATTCTGTGTAATTATATATTATGTGAACGTGGGAGGAATGATTAGAAGTCAAATCTATTAAAAACTCTGGGAAGAATATAAGTATGGTACGAAATGCTGTAAAACATGTATTTTATAAAGTAGTAAAAGATCAGAATCATAACATGTTGGTGTTTAATGTGGTTTTTTTTCTTTAGTTTAATTGACTGGAACAATCCTGCTATCATCAACAAAATGTATAAAGTGTATCTTGGGGATATACCACTGAAAACTAAGGAGGTGAGATTTGCCTTCAGAGTTGCATGCCTGCATGATTTCTGAAGCTGTAATTGTAGTTGCCTTACTGTGTTTGGAGAAGACACATATATTTCTTAAATCTGTCACTTCCTTTGATCTCTGCTTTCACTGAACATTTTTGCTGGTTTTTTCTGTCTCAGTGTGTTCTCATTTGCAGCAGAAGGTAGTTTAGCTAACTTAAAATTACTGCAGTCCAAAGCTGCACTAAATTATTTCAACTCTGTTTCTGACAGGGAACTGTTCTGAAACCAGAAATGAAACGAGAGTCAGTCAGCACCCGTGTTAAATTAAAGATTGTTCCTCATCTTCTGCGATCCAGACAAGCTGCAGAAATGTTTCCAGCGAACATTCAGGTAATGTTTACATTCCTAAGCTGCTTTTCCTAATGAGACTGTTAATACAGTTCCTCCAGTTCTTAGGGTAGGGAAGCACTGATACTGATGACAGTGTTTAAAGGAGAAGGAGAATTAGAAAACCTTTGGAAGTGAGGACAGATACTCACTGACTTGCTCTTTATTTCTTTTGAGCAGGTGGTTTATGATGGCCTCTTTGGTGCAAACACAAATGCAAAACTGAGAAGTCTGTCCTTGCAATTTGTGCATCATATTTGTATCATGTAAGTAATTGAGTGACCACAGTGTTTTTTAGCTGTTTGCCTAGAAGCTACTTTCTTTACTAAATATATGACTGACTTAAGTGCAAAGAAAAGAGTACTAAAACTCAGAGAAAGTAGAGGGTTTTTTCCTTAATCCTGAACTCACTGTATGCGTGTGCTTGCACACATTAAGCTGTAATTTCTTAGCTTAACAAGGTTGAGAAAAAGTGATGCTAAGAGAAGATATTTTTAAGGGGTGCAAAAAATAATATTTTGTTTGGTGTCTCTAATTGCAGTTGTCCAGAAAGTAAAATTAAGCCGTTAGGCCCAATGCTTTTAAATGGACTTACAAAGCTGATCAATGAATACAAAGAGGTAAGCTGAAAGGTTCTTTGCTTTAGACCTAAAATTCTTCATATGAATATAGGAAAGGACAAACACCTTTTGTATAGGTCTGATAAATTTCTTTTTTATAGTTGCCTGAGGTGGCTATCAGCAGATACTTTTTAAGAAATTTTGTTGGAAGAGAAGCAAATACTTTAAAAGGAGGTGCTTGGACACTATTTGCAAAGTCTCAGGAAAGAACAATGTTGGCAATCTAAAGAGTGAGGCTGGAGTGGCATCTAGCTGCTGTTACTCATTACTCTGGAGCACACAGGGACCTCAGTTCCAGGTGTGTACCCCGTTGTGATAAGCAGCTGTAGAGGTCTGCTTGTAACACCTTCCATCCTGTCTGTCTAGGGATGGTATTGCTGTGGGAAGGGTGTTACAAACAGAACTGCAAATGCCAGTCTGGCCTGAGGAGGTGTTTCCAGTGCCATTTCAGAAGGCAAATTTCCCACAGTAGTGCTACATGTATCTCATGAAGAGCTGATGTTGCAAACCTCCTCTTTTGCAACTTTGATCCTCTTGCTGTTTCATTTGAACCGTTGGATGTGACCTGGCCCGAGTTGGTGTAGAACTCGTGGGCCTCCCCTGCCATTGGGAGGGCCATGAAAAAGAAGTGTTGAGGGGTGTCTGGGTTTAGTGGGACAGAATTTTGAGTCAGTTTTCTGTTGAGGAAAACTCTAATTTTGTAAGGACTGCAACACTCTATTTTCATGGTAACAAAATTGATAAAAACTTTGTTATAGGTTTCAGCTAATACTGGTATGCAGGTTGCCATAGTGCTCAAGGTCTTCAAGGTCTTGGGATAAAGTTGCAGAGGCTGGGGGGAGTGGAAACCCAGGGGAGTCAACTCCAAGGTTGACCAGTTAATACCATTCATACCATAAATGTCACATTCACTGTGAGTTGAGGAGTTTGCTGAGGGCAGCCTTTCCTCCTCCTTCTCTTACTTTCCCTCCTGCTCCTTCTTCCATGGCTGACATCTCGAGAGGGACTTGTTCACTATCCTACTCCTGGGGCCTACTCCCCCACTATATTGGTACTCCCCCACAATATTGGCTGAGTATACCTCTGTGTATTTTATGTTACAACTGTTATTAGTATTAGTTTAGTATTACTATTATTTTATTAAATATATTTCTATTTCAACCCACAAATCTCCTTTCCTTTTCCCAACCCTAGTCCCCAGGTGGGGAGGAGGCATCAGGTGACAGAGCAACTGTATAAACCATGACAAGGGGGAAGTAAGCCCATATAGAAATGTGCTGCATTGATCACCTGCAGGATCCATTGTGCAAAAAACCTCATTTGTGTGAAGCTGCTGTTCAGGGCCAGTGGAAGGTTTCTGTCGCTTTGCTACTGTTTCATATACTTGCTGAATCTCCTTAGTGGTCTCTCTTGATATCAAATGCTGTTAGCTGAGACCAGAAGGGAGATTTAAATTTTGTCACCATTTCTAATTTTCTGCTCCTTGTGGAAAAACATTCTCCCTCTGTTCCTGTGTAACACTTTTATTCTTGGATATGATTATTTTATGTTCCTGGATGTTTTGTCCGTGAAAGCCTGTTTGATCACTTTGAAAACAGGATTTAAAGTAAATGTTTGATTTTAAAGATAGACCTTTATGTATTTCTTGTTTTGCTGAATTATATTTATTGTTTTATCATTCAAGGATTCAAAACTGCTGTCAATGGCATATTCAGCGGTTGGAAAGCTCTCCAGGTAAATGCAGCGCCATTTAATCAATGTGACATTGAATAATTTTTCTAGAGTAATCTGTTAATTTATCAGTAGCTTATGCCAATTTTGCAACTGAGTGTACAGTGCAGAGAAAAGTATTTTCTTGAGACGTCTCCAGAGGTGTAAAAAGAAACATGTTTTTAGCTGATAGTTTCTCTAGCAGTGATTAATGGCAGCTCATGAATTATGCACAGAATTTAAGACATGGTTTCACTTTCTGGATTACCTGAAACATAAATTTAAGGAATGCGCAGCAAAGACCGGAGGGCATGAAGCTAGACAGGTGGTACGTTCAGTGATATGCTGATGATCTAAGTGATTTTCCATAGAGTGTCTTGCTTTCCAAACTGTGTTTAGAGGAGGATGCTGCTCCATGGTGGAAATGGATAAGATTGAGCTATCTTTCTGTGCTGGCTCTGTTTTGTTTGACAGTTAAAATGTGACATGAGGGAAGACCGATGAAATGTGAAGCCTTTCAATTTAAAAAACCAGAAACATAATGAATTAAAATATCTTGTTTCAGCCGAATGCCTCAGCTCTTTACCAAGGATATAGCACTGGTACAGCAGTTTTTTGAAGCTTTATGCAAGGTAGGTGCTGACAGGATTTTGGGAAATCATTAGTATTTTGTGCTGGTTTTGCTTAATTCTTGTCACTGCACACTGTAAAATGAGAAATCTTGGTTTTGTGCTGCAGGAAGATACTGATACTAGACTTGCCATTCAGGAGGCCTTGTCTATGATGGTTGGAGCATACATTAACTTGGAAGGAGCCCAGCATACCCTGATGGAAGCTCTTGTAGCTTCTTACTTAATAAAGGTATTTTAAATGGAGTCAGTATTCATTGTTTTCCTGTTTGCTTTTGCAACAGGTCTCCCTTTTCTTACTGTATTGGCTTGTCTGGGAGAAGGGAGTGTGGTGTATGCTCAGATTAAATATTTTTAATATGGTACAGTGGCTGCAAGAAGGATGATATTGCAGTTTTCTGTGTTCTGTTTGCAAAGAAACAAAGCCGCTGTGATTGCACTGTACGTTCTCATAGTCTCTTCCTAAGTAAGCTTTGAGAAGTAGACACTTCAGGGACAGAATCTTGTGAGATGCTTTGTGAAAGCAAGAGTTCTGTATAAAGGATCATTCTCTACTAAGTGGGGATTTCACTGTGCTTTCTGATTTCTAACATTATAAGGCACTTGGGAATCTCTCCAGGAGCTCAGCCTTATGACATTAATCCAGAGGAAACGGCACTTCAATTGCTCTCTTACTTTACTGAGTATCTTGACTGTGTTCAGAATTCCCCAGAGGTCAGGGTTTTCTGAAAGAGTGGTTTTTATATATGCCGTGTTTGTGTGGATACTCAGAGTGACTGTAGAGGTGTATATATTTCAAGTGGTTGCACTAGTAGTTGTGTAAGAGACTATTTGTGTGCTGATGACTCTTTTGCCTGGGTGCTTGAGCGATTTAGGTCTCCTAACCCAGCAGAGAGAATGGCCACACTAAGCTAATGATGCTTTTCCATCTCTGGCTGTGCTGCTCCTAAGTATGGATGTACTGTATCCTTGTATGGATAGATACTGTATGTAATTTTTCATTTCAAAACTGCCTGGGTAGGGCTGTTCAGATGTCTTAAGAATTAGTGATAACCCTGATTTATGATTCTCAAAATGGAACATTTCTTTCTCCACTTTTGTATATATGAGAAAGCTAGCTTTTCCTTTCCCCATCTCCTGCCGTATGAGGAGTTAGTAAGAGCAATGTCTTAAAATGTCTAAAGTCATGTTGGTACCAGAGGACAAAACAGATGACTGATGATTTACAAGTGGTGAGTGCAGGTTATTAGTGTGTTCATTTAAAGCTAAACCATGTGTTTGTGTCTCTTCTCTTTAAGCCTGAAGTTCAAGTACGTCAAGTGGCTGTAAAATTTGCTAGTACAGTATTCCCTCCAGATCACATCCCTTCCAGATACTTACTCCTGTTAGCTGCAGGAGACCCGTAAGTTTTTTTCCTTTTTAAGATATTTTCACACGTGCACACGCACGCACGCACACACACACACACTTGCATCCGTTGTACATTTGGATAAAGTATGAGTGCATATATGTGTGTATATGTATGTGTGTACTTTAAAAATCTCTGAAAATTAAATATAGTTTGGAAATTAGCCTTCACATGGAGACATTCTTGATGGTTTTGTAAACTGTTACTGTGCCTTATGGAAGTCTTTGGCTTGGTTTCTTTTTCTTGTTTCAGATGAACTGTTCTCAATAAAGCACTTCATGTTAATGATCAGTTGCATTTGTGAAGTAAAAATGCATTAACTCAATTCACCTTTAGAGTGGCTAGAAGTTATTTTTTCCTGGAAAATTCTATGAGACTATTTTTAGCTTGTATTTGCAAAGAGTCAGGAGCATGCATTTGTGAGCATTGCTGCTCTCTGCTGAGAAGTAGTTAACTCATTAAATTACAGTAATTATTTCATTTGCAGTTTTCTATTACTGCAATTTAAGTGGCTGGTTTTTTCCAAACTTACTTCAGTTGCTCAATTTTTAGATATGAGTAGCTATTGTGTAACTAAGGAAAGTTAAACAGATCAATTGCAACAACCCACTCTGTCATTGCAGTGTCAGCACTGTTTCAGGAGCTGATCCGCTAAGTAGATAGCGATAAACCTGGTAGGTGTTAACTGAAGCTTAGATATAGGAAGTGATGGGGAGGAGGAGCAAATAAGAAGACAAGAATGTGGGAACCAAGAACTGGTGGTAAACACTAGCAGGATGTAAGAGGAGCAGAAGTGGACTGATCCAGGCTTTTACAGAGGCCTCTCATCACTATCCTTTTTCTTCACCTTCTCTAAAATAAACAAATTGTTGAAAGTTCTAATGCAAGCTTTTTCCCCCTTCGTTTAAAAAAAACCGCTTATCATTTAAAAACTGTTCTCTCTGCCACAGCTTCCCAAGATATGTTATTGGTTATTAAAGGCCATCTTTTCTGTGCGAATAATGTCTGTTTCTCATCTTTTCTTCTGAAAGGCGGGAAGAGGTACATGGAGAAGCACAGCGGGTGCTGAGAACATTTCCTGGTAAAAATGAAAAGGAGAGTTCTGTGAAGCAGATGCCTTCCTTCCCTGAAATGGTCCTTTACATTCAAGACAAGGTACGGTGCTTCTGTCCCATTAAATGACAAATACATGCCTGATGCTTGAGCATGTAATAAATGTGGTCTTCCCTTCCCTCTGTCCACCTCCCTCACCTCCCTTGAGAAATAGAGATAGCTAAATTCACGGTGAGGACCATACAGAGTATTGCATTGCCAAGATTAGCACTCAGTGTTTCCTTCTGCTGACAGTAATTGCAAGAGGTCCAAGTAACAAGGAGGCAGATACTTTAAGGAAGGGATCATTTTGCTTTGATGCAGAAGGCGTGTGGAGTGAGGAATCCAGTGCTCAGGGGTGGTAATCCAACATGCTTCACAAACACGGTGCACAGACATGTTCTTTAAGGGATAGGAAGATCACTCTCTGGTTGGGCTGGTGAAAAATTATTGTGCATAAAACAGAATAAAAGATTCCTGTCTAGGAAAGGAGATACTGGAAGTCTGGTTTGTTGACTTAAAGGCTTAATTATTCATCTTCATTGCAATCTGTGGAAATGAAGGCCATGTAAAATAGCCTTGCATGAGTCTAGTGGCCGAAAACTGCACCACTGAGTTTAGCCTCATTGTCTGCACTGAGAGGTAAAGCTTGTAAGCTATAAAGAAGATGTGGAGGGTCACTGACAATACCTTTTTTTTTCTCTGATAGTCTACTTTTTTAAAGTTGTCAGAAGCATATAACGTTGGAGCACATCTGGTTTTGCACGGAGTCTGTGATAGCAGAACTCTAAGACGTGAGAGATTCCTTGTCAAATGTTGTATACTCTGTTGGTGTTGAACTCTGCTCGTGTACTCTGATAGTATACAGAGCTTTATGAAAAATCTTTCTTTCATCCAAAATACTGGTTATTCAAATAGATATTAAAAAAATCACAAAACCAAGATTGAATTTTAGATAACACTTTTAGACTCCTCTCTCTTTATAGTTTTTTAATTTTCCTTGACTCTGTAATGTCACTGAATAACTTTGAATCAGCCTTATTTAGTCACTGCTGAGAAAAAAAAAAGATTCCTTCACTCCTGGGTGAATTATAAAAAAATTTTGAGCATTTTTCAGATCTTCCTTACCTGTCCCAAGTGATATTTAAAAATCCTGTAGGTATATTTCTTTGGTTAATTATCTTGAAGTGTGAATTTTCACTTATCATGAGTAATCTGCAAGTGCTGGAAACATCTACGTTTGTATGCATTGCTTGGCACATCAAGTCAAGGTGCAAAATGGCTTTCCTGGTTGAGTTAGCATGATCCCGCTCTCCTGCTGCAAGAAAGTATATGCAGAAGAGTAGGACCTGATCTGCAGGGTGTGGATGGGAACCCATTCTTCAGGGGAGTAATCTTCTGGTTCACTAATTCAGGTTTTCACTAAAGGTTCTGGATGTTATTGAAGTTCCAGTGCAGCAAGAGATGTAAGTGTGTTAAGAGATCCGAGGATCTGTTGGCTTCTGTGCAGCTGCCTTGTGTGTTTATTCAGGTGCAAGGCTGCTTTGCTGAATGCAGCCCTAGCACTGATGTGCCTATCACCTAGACTATACAGATGAGCTTTTCTGCAGCATTTTCAGTGAGTGTTTCTGGAAACCTTCAGATATTTTTCTGCTGGTATGTTTCTGCTAACATTTCCATGGAAAGGAAGGAGTTGCTCACTTGCTGCAGCCACCGTCTGCCTAGCAGGTTGCAGTGTCTGAGAGACTCCCTGGGCTTGTATGGCCCAGATCAGGGTGCCCACCTCCCTTTCCTGTAGAGCATGGCTGCTCTACAGGCTCTCCAGGCAGAGCTGCTGCCTCCAAGCTTCCTGGCTGCCTGTCAGCTAGGGTGCCTCAGAGTTTGGACATTAAAGAGATATTTTGGTTTTGAATTCTACAGCCCTTCTTTTTCCTGAGGGAAAGAATGTTGTACTCCTCTAGCCTTCCGTGCCTGCTCCCTCTCATGAGCTCAGAGTTTCCAGTTTCTGAGTTGACAGGGACATAAAGTTGATAGACCTAAACTGTACTATTACCCAAGTGCACTTGGTAGAACAGTTGTATGTTTTCAGTTGCTAAGTGGAGGATAAACACAGCTGCATCAGAAAAATTTCATTGACCTTTCCAACATGTCTGCTGTTCATGGGTCTGACTATTCCACTCTTAATATACTCTGTTGTTTAGGCCTCTCACCGAATGAAAACTTCAGCTAAATATATGACTGGAACTGCAGCGTTGCCTTTCAATCCTGCCACATTTGAAGAGGTAATTTTCTGGATTTACTTTCTCAAATACATCTACCATTATTTATTTAGAGAACAGTGTAAGAAGCTAACAGTTATCACAAGTCACACTACATTCTAAACTTCTTTTAAACAGATGTTGGGATTAACTCCCCATCCTTTATCTGTCTGTTCTTAAATGGCAGTCTGAACAGGATTTCATGCGGGATTGGGAGGAATGCTTCCAAGAAGGCTCCCTCATTGCTTTCTGTAGCATACCTAACGTAATACCTTGTCAGAGGGAAAAACTGGCCATGCTTTGGAAAAGTGCTGTTGTGCTCCTTGAGGCTGTTCTTTTCATAGCAGATGCCCTGGGTACAGTGATCTGTAGACACAAACAGATGTGATGCAAGGTCTGTGTTAACGGTGCATTGGGTTGCATTTGTATGTATGACAAGTTGGTTTAGAGCACAGGCTGAAGTGCCTCTGAGGAGTTTTCATCAGCTCAGTGTAAATCAAAAACTCTGTGTATGATTTAATCTTTTGAAAGTGATGCAGACACTGTAGGGTTGTCTGCTTATACTGTTGTATTGCAGAAACTGGTCCTAAGATTTGTTAAATACAGTATATTCCCTGTTTTATTTTGTCTCCTCCATGGTTTTACAAGTGCTTATGCACTCAGTATTTTGTGTTTTTATCTTCTGTACTTAGATAGTTCTGTATCTGCGGATGTGTCTTGCTCACAGTGCAGGTGTGGTGCCAACCTCACAGAGCTTGGCAGATATGCAAGATCATGCTCCAGCCATTGGACGTTACATAAGAAACCTCATGCCTGGCAACCACATATCTTTCTCTTCCTCCTCCTCTTCAAAAAGTGCAGAAACCAATCCTGTACTTATATATATTGGCCTTCTTCAGCAACTGTTAGCTGGTGTTGGAGGTAAGAAGCTGTGTGCAGCATCATCTTGAAGAAAAAAAGTCTTCTATTAGTAGAAATTAGTTACTATGCCAAAATTGAACTTGGCTGCAGCTATCAGTGAGGCCATTGTCTATAACAACTTCCTGAAGAGTGAATGCTGTGCCCTCCTCACTCTGATAATAGTGTATCCGTAACAACTGGAGTCTTAAAGTGCTCAAATGCCTTTAGAACAAATTGCTACCAAAATGTTTGCTTCTATTAGTTTCCGTAATACTTCTGAGAAATACTAGACCCTATTATTCTATATTGTTCATTATCCCTAGTGAATTGTAAATGAGTGCTTTGAAATGCCTGATACTTCTTAACCTGTTTTTAACACTGATTGTTTAGATTGTTGTAAGAACTGCAGCTGTTTAATAACATGATTCTTTAATTACTGTTTAGGTTTGCCAGTCATGTATTGTCTTCTAGAAGTTGTTTCAGTGTATCCAGAAAAACTAGCCACCAGATTTGTAGACAAAATGGATTGGATAAAGGTATGTTGAAAACCCTTTTATGTTGGTTTATTTTTTGGGGTGGAAAGGGTTTTGCATTAGCAAAATGTGGCATTTTCCCATGGTGGAATGGAGTATTATTTCCAAGTATGCACTTAATTTGGAATCTGGTATTTCTGCTTAACAGTCAACACTTCATGAGATGTTATATGTGACAGGATGGGGAAAGTAATTTTTTGGTTCTTTGGTGTTACTGACTTTGTTCATTGACCTACATGTTCTGGGTAATCTATGTCATTGATCCTACTGGTACAGTGAGTCAGTTTTTCCCCTTGATCAGAAGATCCATTAAGCAGCAAAAGAAATCTGAAAACAAAATTCTGCAAATTTCTGAGGGAACCATTTAACAATGGGAATGTTCCAGTGGGAAGATGTGAGTGGCTTCTTAGACAAAAAGATTAATTAAACTCCTAATTGTTTTAGAGCCCTTTATGTGGATGTTAGGTGGTTTGTTGTTTTTGTTTGTTTGTTTGTTTTAATTAGCCTAAAAAAAAAAACAACCCACACAAAAAACCCAAGAAAACCCAATGAGAAAAAGAGTTAAACTGGATCCTGCTTGGGAATAAGCCAGAGAAAATTCTGCTTTTCCTAGATTCTTTTCTCAGGCAGCTTTCTGCTTTTTCATTATTTGCTTCAAGCATCCAGGTTACCTTTGCTTAAACTGCATCTGGCAGAAAAACTACTTAAAACTTAAACTTAGACTGTGTGCTAACAATTTCTTCTGCTGATATCTGTGCTGCATTGCACTGTATACATTTTACCACATCCCATTAAAGTGCAGGTGTGACCCTAGAAGGACCTCTCCTTAAAAACATTCTCCATTTCGATATTGGTCATCATTTGCAGAAAAAAACCTTATTTTTCTTTGGCTTGATGTCTATTTGCAAAATTAAGCTTCAAGGGGTGGTAACTGGTACTACCTAGTTCTAGGAGTACTGTTGTAAATCATCCTTTGTGTGATTTCGCTTTGCATAGTGGAAGGAACAGGTCTGGGAAGTCAGCTACATGGTCTGATGCACGTTTTGAGCTGAAGTTAATGTTTTACAAGCCTGACAGATCTCATTTCTTGTTTGTTTGCTTGGCTCATTTTTGCCGCCTTTGTGGTGGCCCAAGCCATTCAAAGATTCAAATACAAATTTTTCACATGAGTGTGTTGCATTGTACATCAAATTAATGGCAGAGGTAAGATTGTATTTTAACCTATGGCCTGAGGCTCCCCAAATTAAACTTTTTAATAATTTAGATAGTATAAGATCTCTAATACAAAGTGGATAAATTTGCATTGAGAGCTGTGATTTCCTGGACAATTGGGTTTTTTGTCACGATTGGATTTAACTGGCTTAGCCCGTCCCCC